CCCCTTTTAAGGAATTTAGACTACAGCTCACATTCGCTGAGGGCCAAGGCAGAAGCCAGCCAGGCTCAGGGATGCCGCGTGGATCCCTTCAAGGTTTTAGGGATGAGGGCTTAGGGTTGGTTTAGGGTTTAGGGTTTTTTAGGGTTTAGGGTTAAGGGTTTAGGGTCGAGGATTTAGGGATGAGGGTTTAGGGTTTTACGGATTAGGGTTTAGGGTTTTTAGGGTTTAGGGTTTAGGGTGTTTTAGGGTTTAGGGCTTAGGGATGTTTAGGGATTAGGGGTTTAGGGTGTTTTAGGGTTTAAAGTTGTTTAGGGTTAAGGGTTTAGGCTTTAAGGTTGAGGTTCGAGGATTTAGGGATTAGGGTTTAAGGTTTTTAGGGCTTAGGGTCGCGGATTTAAGGTTTGGGGGTCTAGGGATTTAAGGTTTAGGGGTCTAGGACTTAGGGTTTAGGGGTTGCACAGGGGATCATATAGGGGATATATTGGGATAACGGAAAAGAAAAAAGAAACGGAAACTACAATTTAGCGGTCTAGGATTTAGGGTTTAGGATTTATGGTTTAGGTTTTTTGGGTTTAGCATTTAATGTTTAGGATGTTGGGGTTTAGGGTTTGGGGGGTTGGGCTGTGCCAGTCTCCAGAGCTTTTGGTTTCAGGGCTTCGGTTTGGGAGGTTGGGTGTTGGATTTGTAGGATTGAGCCTTCTAGGCCACGTAGCTGTACCATTGAAAGGCTATATAGGGTTATAAGTTTTTTAGGTTACCGCAGTACGGTTCTGTAGTAAGAAAAATGCCTTCCTGATGATGTTACTTAACTTAAGTTAAAGTCCTGAACCAACAGCCGAGGATTGGGGTTCAGGGTCTAGGGTTTTGGAGCTGGGGGGCTCAAAAAGGGGTGATTGCCCTCAGGGACCCCAGGGGTGTTCAGGCATTACAAGATTGAGGCTTCAAGACTTAAGGTTTGTAGTAATTGGGAACGAAATCCTAGAATCTAGGGACAATCTCGAGGGGATCCAATTGGGCGGCAAGCTCACTGTCACTGGAGCTCTAAGCCTATAGATAATAGCGGCTCTGGGCCCAAAAGTCCCCAAATAGTACGTGGAATGGGCTGTGTGGCGGCCTAGGGTTTTCTTTAGCATTTCAAAACTTTGTATTTAGGGAATCTTGGCCGCGATACAGTTGACGAAAGGGAAGGAACTCGCGCGCCGACGTAGCAAACCCTGGCAGGCTCAGCCCTATACCCTGAGCCCTGACCCCTGGATTTTAGGGTGTAGGGGGCGACATGTTCGCATGCATCCCTATACAACCCCATGTAGCCCCCAAGGGGGACCCGTACATTCCAAACCCCAACCCCTTTCTCGCTGCCAAGTGGCTTGCCAAAGGAAGATATGGACCCATTTCCTTGGGTTCTCAGAGAGCCCAAAATCTCTCAACTCAAGGAGTACTATAGGTTCCTTTAAAGGGCTTCTGGGCGACATATACTGCATTTATCATGGTGACGCAAGGGCGACACATATGTACATACCCTTTACAAGGATTTTTACGGAAATGTCTAGAAGGGCTTAGGGGGTTAGGGTTAGGGTTTTCACCTGATGAGGGCCCATTAAGGACCCCTCAACGAATATGCCAGGATTACTCTTTCATGAAAATCTTGAAATCTCCGCGTCTGTCTAGTGGCCCCGACTACGTAGAAAAAGGCCTCTGTAGCATCCCTACCACAAACGCAGGGCCCAAAGGCAAAAACAAATCCACATGCGTACAACCTACTGAGAGGCTTATACCGAGGGCCTCTTTTGCATGGGTACCTTTTCCTCTGTTCGATTTAGCATACTAGCTGCAGACATGTATTCACATGTGTATTGGGAGTATATGGAGGTTTCCCAAAATGAGGGGACCCCAATATAGACCCCAAAATATTATGAGCATTATTTTGGGGACCCCCCAATATTGTACCCCAAAATTGGGAAACTCCCATATGTTTTTACAGGCACCGATAGATGTAGAATGAACCATGGGCAACCTCAAATGAAAAGCCCTGCCAAGTTTGCGGCCTAAAACACCTGAGCCTAAACCCTTAGTCTCTACTTAGACCCTATACTATGCTATACTATACTATACTATACTTTACAACAATATACTATAATATGCGTTACTATTTTACAATATTCGATACTGTACTATACTATACTATATAACAATATACTATAATATACGATACTATTCTATAATATTCGATACTGTACTATACTATACTATATAACAATATACTATAATATACTCAGCGACGCTCAAATACTCAAATCCTAAACCTGCCGAGTTTCTGGGACACTGCTCAAGCAGTCCAGTGCTGGGGGGCTGCCGTAACTGTCCCCCGTCAAGGCAGTCAAGGAATCACCGCAGGCCGCCACAACCTGCGAGTTTCCGGGCTTTGGATTTGGGCTTTCCCTTTTTGCAAGACTTAGGGTTTATAGGGCTTAGGCCTTTTTCTTTGCATGGCGGCACTTAAGGTTTTTAGCCTTTAGAGTACAGGCTGCCATGTTTCTTTTTGTCACGCCGCTCTGCCAATTAATTACGACCAATGGGAAATGGATCCCGCATATTTCTAGATGCTACACTTAGAATATTGCATAGGGGGGTGAAAACCATAAATCATGTATCAAGGGACCGGGATGAGAATTTCAGGGGCATATGTTTTTGGTCAATTTCCTATCTTCGAGCAGTACGTCATTCCCATCCAAATATGAAGAAGAAGTACCATAGCAGCACCATTATGGTCCTTGTCATGTTTGTGTTGCTGTTAGGTTTTGAAGAGTTGGGGCGTTCTTGTTGGGGCGAGGGCGTAGGCTCAGGGAACTCTACCTTCAAGTCTATGGCAGATGATGCTGAGATGAGCGTCAGCGAAACATGTTTGGTGTTCCTGTTGCGGGTCTAGGAGGGAACTTCCCATGCCTTCTTCCGAAAAGGAAGGGCCCTAATTTAACTTGGATACTGAATGAACCCTGGACGGGGTTCCAAGCCTATAAATAATACCTACTTTGGACCAGGGAGGCTATGAATAGTACCTAGTCTGGGCTGTTTGGATCCCTAAGGAAAGAGAGATTCATTCGTAGCCAGCCTATGCCCAGGCGAGGCCTAGAAGGGAATAAAGGAGGAAAAAATGGCAACTACCTGTATTAGCGAATGTGTAAGGACGACTATGCGGATCATTCCTTGCTAGCCAGAGGTAAGCGACCCCAAAACTCATAGTCCTAAACGTCCTAGCGCCAAATGAGGGAGAAAGGGCCCCCACGCTTCGGAATAAGATTCTCTATGGCTGTACTATTCTAAGGCCTTAGCACTAAACCTAAAAGGCACTAAACCTAAGCACCCTCAACCCTAAGCCTTAAACCCTAAACCTCATGCCTACACCTTAAACATAATTACTACATGTCTTTATGCAAGCCCTGAACCCAAAGCCCTAAATCTAACCCCAATGTATCCACAGCCCATTGAGCACCCTATCTGGAGGGTCAGGGGAACTTAGAAGAAATAAACAAAATGAGAACTACCGCATCATGTCGGGCTTACCGTTTGGGTCACGGGAACATCAGGGGGACTTCAGACTTAATCAGCAGGCTAATCATGGGTGCAACTGGGGTTATTCTATAGCTTATACGAAGCGTACCTATGAAGCTACCCCAACCCACTGAGCACCCTCCAGACCTATATTCGAAGGCTAGCCCCTGTCCCAAACAAAGAGTGCATCCATATGCATGGTCCCTCTATTGTTCCTTCCACTGGTCTGTACGTTACCTCGTCCGCTAAGGCCTACAAGGCCCTAAACCCCAAACCCAAAATCCCAACCCATAAATGACACTTTTAGTTCGCACTTTCTTTTCCCCAATTGGACCCATGAATCCTAAAGTAAGGTACTAGTTTACTTTTTTATTTGCACTCTATATCCTGAAACAAAGTAGCCTAGTTTACTTCATATTTGTTCTACGCACACAAGTTCCACCTCGAGCCATCGCTCCCCCAAAGCAACCGTCACGGCGCGGGCGACGACAGTTTGGGGCGTGTCGATCTCCTTTGCTCTCTGTGAACCCTAAACCCTAAACCCAGGGTTTAGGGGTTTAGGGTTTAGGGTGGTATCCGAACGGGGGATACATAGGATTCCTAAACCCTAAGCCCTAAACCGCAAAAACGGGGGATACATAGGACGACCCAGAAGTACACCCCTCTCCTTGTTGGGCTGAAGGGACCGCGCTGATACAGAGAATTTCTGGGGTTCTAGATGGTTGTTGGATGGATTCACCTCGAGGTGCACATGAGATTCAAGGCACGGTGATAGGTATCATGGCTGGGAACTGGGAACAAGATTTGTGGCATTGTACGAGTCATTGGCCAAAATCCCTGTCAAAACGAGATGCAAAGACGTGTGAACCGCCGGGCGCTTCCAATAACTTGCATGTGTCCCTTAAACACCTCAAATCCATAAAGCCCTAAAGCCAAAGCCCCAAGCTCTAAAAAGAATAGGGTGATCATCCTCATCCATGTGCTTACTAGGGGCTAGTAGGAAAGAATGGAATATAATCCCTATACAACCCCCATATAATACATTCCGTATTCCCTATCAACCCCCAGTAACTGTGCATCAAGGACAGGGTGCGGGCGTGGCCCCGAACACAAAGCCGAAGTCCACGCGAAAGAGGGAACCGTCGTCCCTGCACGAAGCTCGGGATTGGGTAGTTCCCCCCAATGCGCCCAATATAGACCCCAAAACACTATAAGCCTGATTATTATGGGGACCCCAAAAAGGGACCGTTGAATTTCGCGAGCCCCCCCCCCCATCATGGGGAATGCAGGCTTTAGGGCTTGGGGTGCGGAACCCAAAGAGTCCATGCAGGCATATGGGATATACCGATGGACCAAAGGATTCTTGGCAAACTACTTTGGGGCAGAAATATGCACTGTACAGCTACATGGACTCTTTGGTGATTTTTGTAAAATATTCGGGATCAAGGGTTAGAATTTTCAGAATACTGAAAAGTAATCAGAATGTCGACATCGGTGGGCTGCAGGTGAAGATCTGACTTTAGGTAATGATATTGTCCAAGAAAGATATAAGGATTGTGGAGATCCTAAATCATGAAAAGTGTCTTTCCGCGTAGAGAGATGTACTATCTATCATAAATTGTAGGGATCCAGTCCCTCATGCCCCACTGAGCACCAGGCAGTCTATACGTGCAGGACACGCCTGAGTTCATGCTAAGTTGGGTACTGCCCCCACCCAGTAACAGTCTATATTAGGGGTCCTTTTGAGGGCTATATATAACCATGTTATGATTATTATCCAACTGTTACTGAGGGGGGGAGTACCCAAATGCTAAATTAGGTTAGTTCATATTGGGGTTATATTGGGATAATGGAAAGGAAAATGGAAACTACTACAAAATATTAGTGTTCGCATCTCACTCTCTTTTTGGTCGCAGTCCGAGGGACGAGCTCAAATCACCTGCGCTCCACATACAAAAAGCTTCTCGACACTCACACTAACATTCGTCACGAATATCAGGGGTTACATTATGCTATGTTAGGTTGGGCTCTCAAATCTCTCTTGGATGGTCCGCAGGATCCTAGCCAAGAACTGAGCAGTAATGCAAGCAACCTCATGCCACAGTACAAGCAGGGTTTAGGGTTTGGGGTTTAGGGTGTAGGGTTGGGGGAGTTTGTGAGAAGATGCGAGGTTGAGTCATCAACCAGAATTCCTGCCGCCGAAAAAAAACATAGTAGGCTGGGGTTTCATGAAATCCTTTAGCAGCCGGCTGGCTGTAGAAAAAACACGTTTGAAGCGGTGTCACATGGCGCTGGCATGCGCTGGTGTCACAGCTTATAGCACTTTCGCACTCCGCGTGCCATCTACTGAAAACCGCGACAGGACACGTACGCCGAGCGGTACATGCTTGGATGGCACCAGCAAGCGATTGACATTGTACTTGCCATTGTTACCCTAAACCCGCAATCTTATTACCCCAGTACTGTACAACCGGGTATATATTCAATTATATATAATTACGGGTGTTGTAGCCCCAGTTGCCAATTCATTTTCTATGTTCTTTTCCATCTCATTCTCCATTGCCCTGGTGCTGAGGAGTGACTATTGCCCGTGTGTGTACATTTCAGCTGCCCTCCCTGCAGATGAACGTAAAAAGCGCCATTTTCTAACTTGAAGGTTTCTCCAACTCCTGGGGTTCCTAGGCAGGAATTACAAACAGATCATGGAGTGCACTAGGATGCGGGGCAAAACTCTACTTCTAAGTATTGGAGGCATGGTTGAAAGACAGCTGCAGCATACAGAAAAGATTCACATGGCCATCATCCTGTGGTTGGCTGGGAATAATCATGGTCTCTTTGTGGGTCCCCCTATTATACGGCCCCTGCTATAAGGTACCCAAAACGGGGCCAGATTTGCGACAACCTATCATATGAGCTATAATCTACACTCCGAATATCCCTCCGAAGAATATTCCCCTATATAATGCCCAAATAACCCTCCTTTGAAGAATGTAGACTATAGCTCATATGCCTTCAAGTGCCATGCCGATGCACAGCAGCTCTCTTCCGCTTTCGGTTCATGACAAAACTCGCTCTCTCTCTCTCTCTCTAGCTCATGCCTCTCCTTACACCTCCCCATAGTAGCTTCCGTTTCCTTTTCCATTTTCCCCATATAGCCCCAACATAACCCTATAATCCCTATATAAACCCTATATAATCCCGATAACTTCCATGTTCTTTTCCATTCTCCCCATATAACCAGCTCCCCGTACAGTAGTGTCCCAAAATAGCGGACCCTAATCTAGACCTCAATACACTATGGTCCTTATTATGGGGCCCCCCACCAGGTACCCCCAATTTTGGGAAACATCATACTTCCAGCGGAATCCGGGAGGGGGGGGTACGGAGGAGGGAGTGGCTAGGGAACCCGAGACAAACGCATCTTGGGATGGTATACTGACAGCTGAGACTTTAGGCCTGAAGTCCCACTAGCAGACTCCACTTAGAGAGTTCGGTGGACTTAGTAAGTATACTTCGTATCGCCATATTAATCAGCCCGACTGTCCGACTCCCCCTGACCCTTCAAGTAGTCACAGCCTTGCCTCAGCATGATGTTGTCATCGTGGCCGTCCCGCACACCCAAAGCGTAGCAGGCAGTGAGATAGGCCACGGTGGTGGCAGCCAAAGTGTCCAGCTTCGAGGCATCCTTTGAGAACCCAAATCCCTAAACCCTAACCCCCAAGCATGCCTCTTTTAAAGGGATCTAAGGTATGCCTGTTCAGGATCTCTGAAGGTTGACATGAGTTGCCAGATTAAGGATGCAGAGCTTGGGCTAAGAACATCGCAATTAAACATCCCTTCGCTATGGTCGAGGGGGACAACCGCAAGCCCGTGATAACCACTTTGGATCATATCACCCTTAGATAGTCCCTTCTTCAGACACCCCTTCTTCAGTCAGCCTCCGACCCTCCGAAACGCTTGGCTCTCAGAACCGGATGTGCAGCTCGCATCAGTGACACCTAGTACTGTACCCTGCTCCAAACCTATGCTGCGGAAGCCTCGTAGGCCCTTGTAAATTAGAAGCAGTAGTCGTTGTAGTGCCTTTAATGGGAGTTCAACGTTGATTTTGCGGAGGTCTCATTCTCACAAAATGACGCTGAGCAATGTCTTTCCACTGGGTAATTAAGGCAAAACAAATCCACAACACACATACCACTCACCCACATGCCTCACCTGTGGCCTGGAAGATATGCTTGCACCCTGGAATGTTCTTTGTGTTTCTAAGGCTCAGGGTCCACCTCTATAGGCTCATAATGATGATATCCCCCGACTTAACCTAAGCATCCTCAAAATGGGTGCCACTCATCCTAAACCCTAAACCCTAAATTGTTGAGCAAACTCCAATGAAGGCACTTACCTCTGTGAAGGCTGAGCTGACTTACCATAGGGGTTACATTAGGGTCATATTGGGATAATGGAAAAGAAAATGGAAACTACCATATTATAATAGGGTATAGAACGGGTATATATTGGGCTTAGAGTGCCCCTTCAGTAGATAGAATATAGGGGTCATATTAGGGTCATATTGGGATAATGGAAAAGAAAATGGAAACTACTATTTAGGGTTAAGGGTATAGTCCCCCTTAAGTAGATAGAATATGGGGTTTATGGGGATCCTACTATTTAGGGATTAGGGCAGAAGAGCGTCCCCGTCCAAGGCCAGGTAGACTCTTTGGTGACTCTCTTGCTGGCAATGGCGTTTCAGCTCCTTGGATTTGGGGCTTTAGACTTAGGGCTTAGGGTGTAGGGTGTTAGGGTTTATAAGGTTTAGGGTTAGGGTTTATAGGGTTTAGGGTTTATAGGGTTTAGGGTTAGGGTTAAGGTTCTAAATTCGATGACTGGGAGTGCTTGGGGACAATTAAAGGAGGATGGCACAAACTCATGTCGGCATGGGAACTACACACAAAATCATGGGGAACCCAAGCACGCCCTTGGTGTGGCATGGCACTGTTCAGTACGGTCTATGATATGGTGGGGTATGTCTTGCAATGTAAGCTATGGCTATGTAGCACCATGTAGTTACATAGCTGGGTGTGTATCCCCGAATATTTATTCAAATACATGTGATTTCACGAACATTGGGCCCAATCGGGACCCTGCTAAACTATGATTCTTACTAATACGGGCATGCTCGAAAAGAGGCTCTCAATCCTTGGAAGCCCTCCAGATGAAATTCCCAGTGTGGTGAACACGTGTTCACATGGTCGTGATATGAAGATCATGCCGAGGCCTCGGGCATTTATAGATCCCTAACCATTTAAAGACAATTCCCCAGGGGATAGGAGCCATCAGGTGCTCAGACAGCGGATGATCTTGGTGGCACACACGTCATAAGCCCTAAGCGCTACTTGGACAATTAGAGAACATAGTACCTAGGTTAAGGAATGCGAAGAACTGTGTCGAGAAATTCGATTCTTCTCTGTCCCATAAAAGGGTAGAAGCATACTTGCTAAGTCTTTAAGTGCAGTGTGTAGCCTGCAAGGCTACAGCGGACTCAATGTTCAAGGATCTTCCCAGACGCCCGAAACCCATCTCCTTTCTGGCTAGTTCTGACAAGTTTATGCAACAAATGACCCCACCTAACAGCCCATCGTTGCCAGCACAGCCTCCGCCGAAACCGGAGAGTGTTGTGGTATATGTTGTTGGGGAGTCATGTTGGTAATTATTGAGGCCTCGCAGTAAATGCTAAACCCGAGACCGTGTGATGCTGCCTATATAAAGTAAGACTGGCATACTGTACCCCTGTAGATATCCTTGCGAAGAAGTTCCTTACCTCTGCGCACAGGACTACGGACACATGGAACTCACCTTGGCGCTAGACATCGAGCAATTAGGGCAAAGGTAATTGCATCTAAACGAGGGCTGTAACACCCTTTTTTGCGCAAGCGAATACATTTTTCAAACCTTGTGGCCGTCCAAGCCAGTAAAGGTTAGGGTTTAGGGTTTAGGGTGTGATGGGAAAAACCTCTACTGACGTCACAATGCCTTCCCAAATGCCACTACCTTCTGGACAACAGACATGGAACCCCCGGAAACCCTTGTTAGCAAGGCTAGATAGTGTGTGGGAGACTCCTTTCTGAATTCCATGTTTCCTTCAGGGAGTGTAATGCATGAAATGCATGACCCCTGAACTCCGCAATCTGAAGCCTCTGAAGCTACGGTTTAGGCTTTGGGGCTTGGGATTTAATAGAGTGAGGCCAAAGTACACACTGAACCTCTCCCTCCGCCCTAAACCCAAAATCCTGAGGCCCTAGATTCCGAAAGCCGATCCCGAGCAAAACGCGGGTACCTCCTTTCTACAAGGATAGCGGTCTGTGTTGCGCCCTTTTGGGGATTCCATGTTAGTATGGGGGAATACATTCGTGAACAACCCCTCTAAGGGAATCCAGTAATTCCATTGTCCATTTTGTTTTCCAGTGGATCCTCGAGTATTGGCAACCCCCGAATCCTAAACCTTAAATCCTGAACCTTGAACATTAAATTCAGAACTCTCAACTATGATCCAGGCCTGAGTTATCAACCCATAACCCTAGATCCTAAAACCTAATCTCAAAGCCTTAAATCCTAAACCCTGAAGCCCCAAACCCAAAATCCTAACCCCTAGACCCCAAACCCAAAATCCTAATCCCTAAACGCTAAACCCTAAACCCGGAACCCTACATCCTCATCCCAATATTCGGCCCGGGCTCTCGCAGCGTTCGGCATCCGCCGACGGCTTCCTGGGAGAGGGATGATTTTGGGGCTTCCCAAAATTAGGGGCACCTTTATAGGGAATATGGGGGTTATATAGGGGTATATAAGGCTGGGAAACTACCATTTTGGGATTAAGGGGCATAGGTTTGGGATTTAAGGTTTTGGGCTTTGAAGTTCAAAGGCTAGGCCTGTTGAGAGATCTTGCCCCAAAAAGGACATCCCGCGCTACACCCACCAGAACCAATCGCACCCTTTCTTAGATTTACCCAGGGCAGTGTACTAAAAACGACGCCCCGATAAATGACCCAAGAACCATCTTGTGACCAAAGTTGGGGTCCTATTTTGAGGGTTGGGGTTGGCAAAGCCCCCCAATCAACTTTTTCTCTACACCAGTAGGATGGATGTGGTTGATTGGATACATGGCCACTTGGTGAGGCTTGAGGGGTTCAGGGTGTGGGTCTAGGGTTTAAGGATGGACATTCTGATGCTGAATATAAACTTTCCCAAAGTCCTACAACCATATGCAATTCAAGCAGTCAACTAGTCTCCAGGAAAGCCCCAAGACTCTACAATATATACCCACAACTACTAGTTTACATACACTTATGCATGCACACAGATATACACATATATGTTAATCTGGAGAAGTATGTGTATACATATCTGCGTGGCTCCGTATGCTTCATGTTATACCTGAACCCTGAAATGGCTTGACCACAACTTAAACCGGACGGTGTACGGTGCGGCTGCATGTCTAAACCCGTGCGCTCCAAGATTGAGACAAACATGAACCGCCATCCAACTTCCAAACCGACCAATTGCACAAAGAGGCCTGAGTTGTTGAACGTAATCCCGCTCGTGCAGACCAACACAAGTCAAATCCTAACTATCGGATAGTGAGCTTGATCGGAACCCAAGTCATAAGTTTGAGAACCTGCAACCCCCCAAAAAGGCCAGGTTCTATTAAGCCCCCGGAGGATCCGATAGGGTAGATCTCGTAGGTGACCTTTGCCAACGCAAGCTGTTCCGGGTTTCCTACCCCTACACCCACTGGGGATCTGGCTAAACGCGTGGAAATGCCGTAGGACGTCTACGTGTTGCTCAGAGTTCTGTGCCACTGTGTGTGCTTAGACATGACTCCTGCGACTTCTGATTCGACGCTTTCAGCTGCCGAAGTTCGTCAGAAATCAACACAACAGCGTAACGATTTAGGTATCCTCCCGAAAAGTAGTACAATCCACCCCACAGCCTGAAGAATTACCATTGTCAATCCCCAGTCCTCGCTGAATAGCTGTAATATAACATACCCCGGGCCTACATTCTAAGCAGTTATGCCCCTACTTTAGCGCCTAAACTTGCCATGGACTATCGCAGTGGTCTCATTAGGGTTTGGCTTCTGTTTGCACACAGCTTTGGCGGAAAACATCTACGTAGCAGGAGCAGGCTCGCTGGGCCTTGAACAGTTTCCTGGCTCAGTAACAGCCCACTCAACTAATGCACGTTCTTCTTCTTCTTCTTGAGCTCTGAGCCCTGAACCCTTAGCCCTGAACTTGCAAACTGCTACAGATCTCAACCCCTAAGCCCTCAACCCCGAAACCATTAACCCCAAACCCCAAGCACTCAAACTCTAAAGAGCCAAGAAATGTAACCTTGTCCCTGCAGTGCTGGACTCCAGAAGCCAGTCATGACTGAGGTTTTAGGGTTTTGGGGGTTAGGGTTTTAGGGCTATTAGAGTTCAGAGTTCAGAGTTTAGGGCTTTAGGGTTGAGTTTAAGTATTTAGGGTTTGGGATTGACGTCATTCTCCATGCAGTAACAAAGTTAGTAAGAGAGGTACTAGAAGTTTGAATGTCCTCTTACAAGAGCACTTGGAGGACAGTTTTTGCGCGGGGTAAGCTACCCAATGAATACCAAGAAATGTCGAACTAACACTAAGAAGCATTCCAACCCTTTGC